GTCACTTTCACTGTAAGTAATTCACTCAATTAACAACTAGTTCTTACACCAATTATAAACATTCCTCAGTCCTCCACGAAAACGTTTTCGGTCACTCGTCTTTTGCTGATATTCCTTATTGAGGGTTTTCTTTGGCAAGTGATGCTTTGGTGGACTTAGGAAGCTCACAATCTTCGGGTGCGGAATAATAAAAACGGATTCCTGTGTAAATTGACAATGCCATTAATAATATCTAACAATGGAATTTTCTTCTGATGATTAAGAAATATAGGATGGAGTGTTTCAATTTAATGTTTTCGCTACCTCTGTCCGAAAATATTTAAAAATACTATTCACTTCAGAGTCTAAGAGCTCAAACTTTACCTCTTTTTGGTGGCTGTATTGCAGGGGTTAATTAAGTTAAACGCTAGCAACTGCGATCTTCAGGCCTGGTTCCTTAGGAGAAGAGAAGAAGGGAGAAGTTAAGTGGAAGTTTATTCCCTGCAGAAGTAAGTGCAGAATAGGTAGACGTAAGTTTGTTCTCGGACCAATACACGTCCGTCTGCGAAGGAGGCTGGCCTGGAATGTGAGCGCAGGAAGCGTCACAGTGCCTAGAGCAGTCTTTGTGTGAATCGGCCTTGAAGGTGATTGGCCAGATGGACTGAGTCAGCCTACGAGTGGACATCTGTTAGTGGCCGCCGGAAGAGGCAAGCATTTCGGCATCTGTGGTTGGTGTCCAACGTGGAACTGAGGCTGGCTATCCCATGGCCTCATACTTACATGACGCACGAGGAACAAAGCGCTCAACAGCTGCGGTTACTTGGCAATTCCAGAAGACTGAGTTTTTTCATCCAGGCAAGGCTAATTTAGTTAAGATTCGGATGGTTTGTAAGGTAGCATGTTCCTTAGAATTGAGTGCCATCAGAGGAAACTTTGCATGCAAGCTCACTCGTGAGCCGGAAAATCCTCCGGGAATATTCGTGGCCGTTTTGTTCGATGTGATCATCGGAGGCCGTCCGATCATCTGCCAAGTGCGCTTGGAGGTGAAACTGATACCTGAGGCTGTGTCGAGCTGTCGGCGCACTGGTTTGCCATTGATGATAACCGTAAGACACTGCTCCCGTGTCTCAAGTTCAGTTTGGAACATGGCTAGAACTGAGTGACACTTTAGACAGGAATAAGATGAAGGGCGTTTGAGATACCTTCTCTTCCAATCGCCCATCCTTGATTTGGGTTTGGTCTGCCCAGCAGTGATATTCTTTATACCCTTGCTTGTGACACTTCTGATAAACGTTCTTCTTGAATGGATATAATGAAGCGAAATGCCAGTCACCACAGTGCCAGCATGTGTTTAGTGGTTTCCTGGGTAATTAGTCTTGGGACTTATGTGGAGACATCGACTTCGTGTGGGTAACAGCATGAAGTCTGGAGACGGCAAGCGAGGAACTGGATTGCTCCACGAAGTCAGAATCGTGCTTAAGATTTTTGAGCCGCTGGCACTCGGCTGTCAGTGTCCGTGAGGTTGCGTCGGGGACTTGCTCAATTTTGCTGAGCAAACGAGTTCTGATTTCAGCATCGCGAGGTGACTGCGAAGCGCACACATATATGAGGCACTTGAACTGGTCTTCTGTCATCGATCCCAGCTTTAAATTTTCCCACTCGTGGTTAACGGAACTGACGGAAGTCAAAAATCGTCTGCCTCTTTCTTCACCAGCTTGAGACACTGGTATCGTACATAAAACAGTGATGATTTCTCCACGTAGGTCTCGTACAGTTGCTTGGCCGTTTTATCGAAGTTTAAGTCACGAGGGTTTTTCGG